GCAACATGGTTTATTCCCTTCTCAGGGGAACAATATTTTTGTTATGTTAATAAACTTTTGATGCATCAGTTTTTTCTGCTTACAAAGGAGAGAATTATTTAGCAGGGGAAACTCATGTAAAGTATCTGAAATGTTTTGAGTTTACTTAAAGGCCAAGTCATCAAACTCTGCAGCAATGAAGAAATAGCAATACTGCAGTCACACTTGAAAACTACCAGGTTCTCTTTCAAAGCCAAGGTTTTCTCTCATTTCCTCTAGAGCTTCTGTCATTCCTTATGCTCTGGAGACCAGAGCATCATTTTCTTTTTCTTTCTTCCATGTGAGGGGACAGACATAAGACATGATGGTGCAGCTTAGAGAATGTAAGTAAATAAAAATTTTTAAAAATATTGAGCAATATTCTCCCAGCATGCAAATCCCAATTTGGGGAAAAAATTAGTTCCTTTCAAAAGCTGCCTTAACTCTTCGGGGTCTCCATGGTACCATTCAGTAAATGATTACCTCTGTGCATCAAATAGCACCCCAGTGGCCTGAAAGAGTTCATGGGGCCTCCAGAAGTAGCCATCATGGTCCCAGGAAGGAGTGTGAGCCTTGGGAGAATCTGGCTGAGTGTACAATTACTGTTCAGCTCACAGTGGCCCAATTTGCTTTATTGTAGAGTGCCTCCTGGAGTCCCACTGCTCAAAGACAATCTCAGTGCCTCTGAGTCAACTGCCTGCAAATCAGCCTTTTGGGGGTTTTCCAGCCCTGGGAGGAGGTACAGGCATTTGTTAGGAAGATATCATAGAGTTCTCAGTCCTGGGGAAGGAAATAATGTTACCACTGAAATTCCCAGCCAGAAGGACTGACTTTTCTCTCCAGAGATTAACTTTTCCAGGTGATAGCTGGTTTCCAGGTGGTAGCCATACATTTCTTAGACATGCTCATGCTACTTCGGTATGTGTGAGATGATTCAACTTTTTACTCTGCTGCTTAACTGGTTATCTCAGGTTACCGTGTGGTTCTGTCTCAGTTTCTGTAAAGTAGGAATAATAATTATACCAATCCCAAAGGTATGTTATGTGGATTAATGAAAACAATGCATGTCAGTGCTTGGCATAGTATTTGGCACAAAACCAGCAACACATTTGGCCATTATTCTGCATAATGTGGGTCCCATCATCGTATGTTCACTTATTAAATATTTGTTGGAGGTCTACTATGGAAAACAGTGCTTAAAATTCACCTAGTTGTTTTTGTAGTTTTAGCAAAGTTCTGATGTACTGTTTTTTTATTTACTTTATTTTATTTACAAAGGAAAGGTGTGACTATGTTCATTTACAGGGCTAACATTTTTTTAACTATTTCAGATACAAAGTTTTGTTCAAATCAAAATAAATAGCCAGGTACTCACAACCCATATGGGCTTCCCAGGTGGTGCTAGTGGTAAAGAACCTGCTTGCCAAGGCAGGAGAGGTAAGATGCAGGTTTGATCCTTGGGTCAGGAAAATCCCCTGAAGGCAGGCATGGCAACCCACTTCAGTATTCTTGCCTGGATAATCCCATGGACAGAGGAGCCTGGAAGGCTGTAGTCCACAGGGTCGAAAAGAGTCAGACATGACTGAGGCAACTTAGCATGCATGCATGCACCACCCATATAAAAGAAATAAAGCATTTCAGATAAACTAAAGCCACCTGTGTATAAATTCAAGAACTTATTCCCCTTCCGTTCACTCCCAATGGTAACTCCCAACCTGCTGAATTAACATGCCCTATGTGAAATGATATACAAAGAGACAGCAAGTTGTAAAAGTATATTATGGTATCATTCCAAGATACCTATAAAACTGTATGGGGAAACACATGTAAATCCATAGCTGATTCATGTCAACGTAAGGCAAAAACCACTACAATATTGTAAAGAAATTAGCCTCCAACTAATAAAAAATAAATGAAAAAAAAAGAAAAAAAAACTATATGTAAATTATACAATAATATGGGTGTATTTTTTTAACCATAAGTAATACTATCATGTAACTTATGTATAGTCTCACAAGTTGTTGTAGCTCAAACTGTAATATACTTTCACAATTTGCTTTTTCCACAACATTCTGTTTCCGGGATTTATCTGTATTGATTCAGCTCTATTTTTTTTTTCTTTTTCGTGTTCTATGTGATATCCTTATATAAATTTGTCACAAATCATTCATTATCCTATGGATGAACGTTAAATTTTTCTCAATCAAAAATAGCATTGCATAAATATTTCTTGTCCATGTCACCTTGGGCACAAATGCCAGCTTGTTTAGGGATATACTTAGAGACTTCTCCCTAGCACTGGAATTGCTGGGAGGTTGGACATGTGCCCCCTTAGCTTTATTTAATAATGTTAAATGCTTCTTCAAAGAGGTTCTTTCAAGTAACTCTCCAGCATAGGGTATGCGGGTTTCATGGTTCCTCACTTTCCCTACACTTGGTATTGTCAAATTTTTCATTTCTGCTAACCAGAAAAGTATAAAATATCTTCTTGCAGTTATAGTTTGCATTTCCCTGATTATTAGTAATTTTCTATTTATCTTTTGGTAAGTTTCTTGTTGTTCATTTGCCTGTTTATTAAAAATCAGTCTTTTTAAAAATTAATTTATAGGGGTCTAAATACCAGCCTTTTGTCAGTTACATGCATTGCAAATATTTTCTCCCAATCAGTAGTCTGCATCCTCGTTTTGTATATAGTGTCTTTTCATATCAAGAAGAGTTTTAAAGGTTTTTACTTTTAAACAAACATAGTATCTATTGCAAGGAAACATATGAGAATGATTTCCCTTTGGAAATTTTATGTCTTTCTCACCCTTTCTAGAAGGAGGATCTCAGCTTAAAAAAATTGGTCACGCCTTTGGAAAGGAATATAATTTAATATGGCTGGTGAGTGGGAGCAGTGGACAACAATCTAGCAAAGTTTCATTTCATAGTGGCCACTAACTGCCAGGAATGGGCACAACAGCTTACCTCCCTGGTGGGAACCTGGGGTCAGGAATTGCCAGGAACTCAAGTTCGGGGCCAAAGATAGTCAGTCTGCTCTGTACTCAGCCTGTGACAACATGGGAGAACAAAGGGAAAGGACTCACATGAGAAGCGGACCTAGGAACAGGATTACTGTGGGAACTGTGGGAAATTCTGGAAAGAGTCTGGCATCCCAAGCAGAATTGTATGACTTCTATTAAATAGCATTTTAAACAATAATCAGGGAAAGTCTGAGGAAAAAGAAGACCAGATGGGATAGAGATGAAAGGGACAGATAAGAGAGGATTTTAAGGAAATTAAAAGAAACGGGAGACTAAAAACAATGACAGCAACAACTTGGACTGGGAAAGTTTAATATGGCTGGTGAGTGGGAGCAGTGGACAACAATCTAGCAAAGTTTCATTTCATAGTGGCCACTAACTGCCAGGAATGGGCACAACAGCTTACCTCCCTGGTGGGAACCTGGGGTCAGGAATTGCCAGGAACTCAAGTTCGGGGCCAAAGATAGTCAGTCTGCTCTGTACTCAGCCTGTGACAACATGGGAGAACAAAGGGAAAGGACTCACATGAAAGCGGACCTAGGAACAGGATTACTGTGGGAACTGTGGGAAATTCTGGAAAGAGTCTGGCATCCCAAGCAGAATTGTATGACTTCTATTAAATAGCATTTTAAACAATAATCAGGGAAAGTCTGAGGAAAAAGAAGACCAGATGGGATAGAGATGAAAGGGACAGATAAGAGAGGATTTTAAGGAAATTAAAAGAAACGGGAGACTAAAAACAATGACAGCAACAACTTGGACTGGGAAAGGATTTCCTAAGCTTGGAACTAAATCCAGAAAGCAAAGGAATGGACTGAGAAATTTCATTTCATAGGAATTTCAGATTTCTGTACAGTTTACCAAGCAATATCACATTTAAAGATGAAATGACAGATTCAGAAAAATTGAGATAATGTTATAGACCAAAGGTTAATGATTTTTGTACATAAAAAGATTTTTTAAATAAATAAGAAAATAATTAAAACCCCAATAGAATAATAGGCTAAGAGTAAGAACAGACAATTCAAAAGGCATTAAAAGTGTTTTTCCACTCTAGTTACCCAAAGATTGCGACTGAAATGAGATATTTTTTCTTCTGTAAGTTTTCTTATTTAAGATGAAAAAGCACCACAGTGCTCGATGTTGATGTGGGTGGAAAGAAATCAGCCCTTTTCCAGAGAGCTGTTGGAGGCTAATCTGTTAAAATTTTTCTGGAGAGTGAGTTAGTAGCTATTAATAGTAATAGGTACCAATTCACTAAAATATGGGGGGGAAAAACACTCTTTTAATTGGATGGTATCACTGACCCAATGAACATGAGTTTGCACAAGTTCCAGGAGATAGTGAATGATAGGGAAACCTGGTGTGTTGTGGTCCGTGGGGTTGCAGAAAAAGAGTCGGACACAACTGAGTGACTGAACAACAGCAACAATTGAAAATCCCACCTTTTTAAACCTACAATTCCATCTTTTAGAATTTATGTGAAAGAAATACTTGCACTACTAAACTAAAATATCTGCATGAGGTTTGACAAGAGTGTAAGAGGAGAATCAGTGAGACCCAGCAGTTGATGGTGAGGAAGGGGAGGGAGGAGGGACCTAGAGAATTACTCTTGGAATTTCCTACTAGAGCAGGTGAGTGCTCGGTAGGGCCATTCACTGAGACAAGATACACTGGGTTTTGGGGGAAGGCAATGGATTCAGTCAAGTATGTTTGGGGTTTCAGGAGTACGAGTTCAGGGGAGATGTCCAGAGTCAAAGCTGGATGTGTTTGGAGCTCAGCAGTAAGTTGAAGACTTCATAAGCACTAGTGTAGGGAGACAGTGGGAGTTGGAGGGTAGGTGATTCAGTGGCTTTCCAGTGAACATGGGACAGTGACTTAGGCTGGCAGGGAGGTGATTCTGATGCCTAGCTTTGTAGCTTTGACATCACTGAGTGAATCCTGCACGTTGCACTTCAGGCCTGGGAACACTCCGTGGGGATCATCTGCTTTCCCAGTCTTCAAAGGCTGGCTGAAGATGTTTCCAACCAGTTTGCCCAAGAAATACAGAAGGCACTTGTGGGAAAGCCTGCAGGTAAGAGAAGAGCTGTCTGGAGAACTTCAAGGAGAGCAAAACAGCTCCGCGGGCCCCTCCCAGGCCTCTGGTTAAGCCCCTCTCTTCTTTCTAGGGGAGTTAGAGTAGAGCCTTTGAAAATGCACAGCAGGCCAGGTTCTGACACTGAAGACCCTGGAGAACAAAGGAAAAGGCTAGAAGAGGGAAGAGAAGGGGGACTTGGGAAAATTTGCTGCTCTTGGAAGAACACACAGACACACACACTCACATCACTGACCCTACCCTATATATGTGTGTGTGATATATATACACACATACACACACAGACGCCACTCCTTTCCCCCTGCCCCCACCAACACAGACACACACACAAAACCAAAGCCAAGCAAATTTCCTGCTATAGGTCCTGGCTCGCATCATTTTCTTCATGGAGTTGGACCCCCAGAGCCTGGGCTATGAGGCTGAAAGCAGAAGGAGATTCCAGGGGGAAGCAATAACTTGAGCATGGTGTAGATGGAGGAATCCCTATGACAAAAGGGGCTGTGTGACATAGGAAGTGGAAGAGAAGACACTGGATTGTGGCAAGTCCAATTTCTGAGGAGCTTGTTCTTAGTGTTTAGCAATAGGGAGCCACTGATGGTTGTTGAACCGGGATGGTGGCATAATAAGATCTATCCTCCAAGGAGATTAATGTTGACAGAGTAGGAAATGTTTGGTATAGATACAGGCATCACTGTTGGGCGTGCAAGAGGTGGAAGTTCCGTAAGGATGCTAAGGCATACCTTAGGGAGAGAGGGGCCCAAGGGGAGGGAAGCTGGGTGACCTGGCCACTGCACCGCCTTGCTGGTGACACTTTCTCTCCTCCCTACACTGTTGCCAGAGCAAGCACGGGTAGCAGCTGGGAAGCTGCTGCGATGGAAGGGAGATGTGGACGTGGATCAGGATGGTTACCTACTCCTGAAGTCGGTGTACGTGCTCACGGGGACAGATTCCGTAAGTTCCAGGCCCCACTGGCCCCGCCTCCCTGCCTGGGCACTTCTCACCAATGTCCCAGCACAGGACAGTGGAATTTCTCAAGGGTGCTTTCTTTCCACGAAACTGATTTATTGCTTTTCCTCCTCTACACCCCCTTGGATAAAGAACATGGACTTCAGAGTCTGAAATCCTGCCTGTTCACATCCTGCCTTTCCACCTTATGTGCCACTTTGAACGAATTATTTGATTTCTTTGCATCTCTGTTGTGCTGTTAATTTTAAAATTAGAGATAATAATGCTTCCATTCTAGGGTTAGTGTGAGGATCAATGATGGGTGATGTGTGTAGACTATATTTCCTGTGTGTCAGGGTGGGGCTGGGGGCATGCCATGCATTGTACAATTAATCCTCCCAAGACCCTAGGAATCAGAGTACAGTGATGCGGCACTGGTGACAACAGCCAGGTCTGCCTGTGATGTGCAGCCTCTCTGACTCCATGCTTTGAGCCCCTGCTCTTTACCGGCTCCTGCTGAACTCAGACTAAAGGAGCCAGGCCTGTAGGCACCTGCCCTGTGCCACACCAGAGATGAAAACGACTACTATTCCTTCTTACCACCCAGGCCCCATCCTGGCTGTATTCATCCCACCATGAAGTGGGGACCTTGAGTGGTCTCCTGATGATTGGTGGCCTCAGGCAGAAGCAGCCCCCAGAAGCTGTGGCCATCAGCATAAATGACCCAAAGTCCTGTGCAGGGCAGGTCCAGAGGCTCCTCTGTCTAGCAAGAGTGCCTGTCTGTGAGTGTCCTGGTGCCCAGACTAGGAACAGCAGGGAACCAGGCTGGGGCGGTGGCTGCCCTCTGTCTAATGGTGAACACAGGCATCTGACGGGCATTTGGAGATAGTACCAGGAAGGGGGAGAGGAGCACGGCAAATAGTTGCTCACCAGCGGGAGGATCACCTACCTGACATTTCCTCTCTGTGAACTGCCTGGACCACCATCAGGGACAGTGACCTGGAGCACAGTGCCGGGGCTCTTCACTCCCTGAGGAAGGACTATTTTCAGTGTGAGCAGTAAAAATTAACCTAAAGCCTTGTTTTCTGCTGGGAGGAGTCTGCCTCCAAAGCAGCGAGAGAGGAGGCAGTTGGTTTTCTGGGGAGATGGTGCAGTTCGGAGGACAGGGAGAGACACCCTGAGTGCGGCCACGCGCGGACACGTGTCCAATACAGGGGACAGACGTTACCTGCAGTGAAAACTTATAGGCACCAGCAGCCTGGTGCTGGCCCAGACTGTACAGTCTTCCTTTCTCTTTTCTAATGTACCCACCGCTGTCTGTCAGATTAGTCAGTTGGGTGGGATATTGTGTACTTTATATTAACCACACACGTGTTCTCTCATGAGCATGTATGTGTGCACACACACATGCTGAGGTTACAGTGCAGTAACAGCAGTGGAGCTGCAGGCAGAGCCCGTGTGAAGCCCTGTGAAGCTTCACAATCAGGCTGATCCCTCTATTCTGACTCCTTGTCTCCTCTCTGTCCAGCAGCCCTGGGGCTGTTGAGGTGTGTGGCTCACCTATATAGGTGTTCACCTATAGGGCTGTTTGGGTCAAGATGAGGTCTTGGATCTGAGCAAGGGGATGGAAAGGGCCCTGATCACGTCCTTGATTCAGATGCTTGAACTTGTTCTCAGCCACCGCTTCCTGACTGAGTTCCCAGTTCCCTCATCAGGAGGAAACCGGTCAAAATCAGCAGTGTGATTGCCAGGAATGCCCTTGATTTCTGCTCTGCAGCAGCCCTCCCCCTCCCCCATCCTTCCTATCATCTCTCTATCATGTAAAAGATATGTCTACCTAGCACACAATATACACTTTATGTAAACTTAATCGCCACAGCTGTCCCACTGGCCCTAAAACTGTCTCCATTCTTAATTGAGAATGTGTCGCTGAGAGAGGAAGTGGCTTCCCCAAGTTCGTGGCTGACAGAGCGGAGTTGGATGACCTCTCTGGTCTGGGTCTGGAGCCGTTCTCTGCAGCCCTGGGTCATGTCTGAACTTCCCTTGCAGGAGACGCTGGGCAGAGTTGCTGAATCTGGGCTCCCAGCCCTGCTCCTCCAGTGCCTTTACCTGTTCTTTGTTTTTCCTCTGGAAAACGATGAGCTTTTGGAGAGTGATGTTCAAGTTCAGAGGATGTTTGTGCAGGTGAGTAGGGGGAGGGCTAGACTTCCTGGGCCAAGACCAAGCTTCTTCTTGGTCCTCCAACCTGCTTCTCCAACCTCCTCTGGTCTCTGTCTACCCCTAGCTCTGAGCCTCTTCTATTCTCCTGGAGGGCCCAGCTCACCCCTTCGCCCCTAGGCTCTGCAAATGCTGCGGAATCCTGTGCATTTGGAAGACAGAGTTTCTTTCCACCTCCCTGTACCTCTGTGCTGCCCTTGTTCTCTTCCAGAACAGTGTGCTTCTCCTCCTCCTCCGCTTGGCTGCACCAACTTCTTGTCCTCCAGTCTGTGTTCTAGGGTCCTGCCTGCCCTCCTGGGCACCTGGAACCTCCTGTCTCTGGCCTCTGTACCTCTGAGAACAAATCCGCTAAGCCTTCTTGTGTAACTCTGTAAGTACTTGCTATGTACCAGCCTTGTGCCATAACCTTACACCCATCACCTCCCTGAGTTCTTTTATTACAGGATGTGCGTGGTATTGTCATCTTCATTCAGTGTAATCTAAAGTGCGGTGAGTAAACACGAGTCCAGAGTCCAAGTGTGGCTCAGTGGTAAAAAATCCACCTGCCAAGCAGGAGATGTGGGTTCAGCCCTGGGTCGGGAAGATCCCCTGGAGAAGGAGATGGAAGTTTACTTCAGTGTTCTTGCCTGGGAAATCCTATGGACCGAGGAGCCTGGCAGGCTATGGTCCGTGGGGTCACAAAACAGTGGGACATAACTTAGCAACTCAACAACAATAAGGGTCATAGAGGAGGTGAGTGAAGGCAGGGATTGGAACCCTGGGAATCTGGCTTCTGAGTCTGCATTTAACCACTCTGTGGGGTCACCTCTATCTCTCCTCTCAGACAGCATTTCAGGTCACTATCACACGTGGTGTGCTCAAGTCATTTCCCATCTTTCCTATCTTCTCTAACTGGCAGAGACTTTTCACGTAACTTCTCACCTCTCTCCCCTACCCCTTTACCGACAAGTTCTGCTTTCTCAGCTTCTGGCATGCTGTGTTCTCCAGAAAACTTCTCTTGCCTCTCTAGTGGAGGCGGGGTGCTGTCGGTCTTACTTCTCTTTGTGCCTTGGCCAGGGTATCACATGGAGCAGGTACATGAGACCATTTGGGAACCGCCAGTGCCGCTGTCCACCGAACATGCATGTTCACATCCGCGTCCACGTTAGGCCAATGCTCAAGCCAGAATCCTCATTACCAGTGGGTATCTCATGAGTTCTGCCAGATTCCACTTACTCAGGGGCGTCCCCTAAGCTTCACTTGTTAGACATTTAGGCCTCATTTGTCCACATATAAATCATATTTTGAGTGGTGGTCAGGACACAGTATTGGGTACTGAAACAAGTCTTTACTGTGTGGTTTCCACGTGCTCTTCAGGGAATTAATGCAGCCCTGTCTTCAGTGGTCCTCTCTACATATGGACAGAAGGTGAGACACAGTGATACCACCTCAAGGCTCTTCAGAGTTTCCTTATTTCATTCCACAAAAATATACGGCGCTCCTCTTGGGTGCATCTCTGTACTAGACCCACACCCTCTCATAGAGATGACAGAGAGATGGAGAAGCCAACTGGAGAGACCAATCACAGGAATAAAGGAGCAGGGTCCAATTTTTTAAATGCTCTGATGGAAAACTCAGAGATGTACTGGGAAATGAGAGCCAGGGGACCTGACTTATGGTTGGGCATAAATGGAGACACTTCTGAGGAAATGGCATTGAACCAGGGAGCTGAAGGTTGGGATGGAGATGTGAAGTGGGAGGAGACAGGAGAGAAGAAATGGCTGGCCAAGTGAAGGGTCACATGGCCACCATCACCTGCCATCTTCAGGGGAGACCAGAAGAGGGGATCTGTCCCCAGTTCCATGCCTATCCAGCTGAGACTCCATCACTGCGCAAAAAGGGGCTCAAGGATTTGGACAGAAAGAGCTTTCCATATTCGCCAAAGTGGAAGAGGGTCCCCGCAAGACCACCAAGAGCCAAAAGGAGAGTGCGTAGGATAACATGATGGAAGAGGCAGGGCTGGGCCATGCAGAGCTCTGGGAGCCGTATTAGAGTGCTTGGTTTCCATGCCAGTGCACAGGAGGTTTTCAGGAGGTAACCATAGGAACATGGGATGGGTGGGGGCGAGAAGTCCAGCTAGGAGGTTACAGGATAACGCTCATAATCTTACGGAGAAGTAGAGGTTGAGTGCCAGCCAGGGCTTCAGGAACATGGCTCTCTTTTTAAACAGCACTGTTAATTCTGTATTTTAATCACAGGTGGCATTTTCTGCATTTCTCTATAATAAGACACCTCTCTAAGTCAAACACTTTTGTGCTATTCTGGTGTGGAAAGGATAACCATTGCTTGTACTGGGTTAGGAGTCCACATTTTCGCCCTGCCACCTTTTTAAAGGTGGCTGTTGACCATAGCAGTCTCAGGCAGAGGGTGATCATCCACAATTCTATCTCTCCTGCTGAGACAAGGAAAAGTAAGGAAGAAATTCCTTACAGGAAGGAGGCTTCCTAATCAGAGACTTTGTATTTTTCCCCCCTCAGATGTTGCTCAACATTTGCGGTGAGGCTCAGGGTCTGGAGGGACTTCTCTCAGGAAATGAGCTCCAGTCTCTCATGATTGCCACGACATGTCTTCGGGAGCACAGCTGCTACTTTTGGAAGGAGCCCACCTTCTGTGTGCTGAAGACCATCTCCAAGGCCCAGAACGTCGGCGTCATCCAATACCTACAGGGTATGTTCCTGGGAGACCAGGGATGGTCTGTGGGCACGCTTTCTAGAATAAGACCCTGGGATGCCCTGGCAGCATTAGCATAGATTCCAGGGATCAAAAAAGAGATGAACAAACAGGGTTTTCACTGATGCCCAATTATGCCTAGTAGGCGACCCTGTATTACTTGGGTCCATTCACGGCAGGGCTTTTACTGTTAATTTTGATGATCCATTGGAAGGGAGGGGGAAAGGGCAACCTATTTACTACATATACTGTCAAACACATATTATGCTGAGCTCATTTGTATATTATCTAATTTTTTTGAGCTAGATATTGATGAGTAATGCCATTTTGTAGTGAGGAAACAGATGATTAAGTGTGATAGAAGAATTTGCCAAGGCTCCCCAGCTAGTGAAGAACAGAATCACATATTAAACCCGAGATGCCCAATTCCAGTGCCTTAGGATCTGCTCTGGACAGTGTGTGTAAAAGTTAAGGACTTAGATTCTGAGGTTAGACAGCCAGGCTGTGGGCTCCTGCCCTGTCCTCCTAGCTGAGTGACCTTCAAACTTTACGCCTGTGTGCTTCAGTTCCTTTGTCTGTAAAATGGAGATAACAATCCCGCTGATCTCACTGGATTGTTGTGATGCATTGATGAGTTGGCACATTTGAAGCCCTCAGATAGTACCTGGCAGTGGATGCCCCATTGGTCAGCATCCCAGCATCATTACTTGGCTGTGATCAAAGGTTATACCCTGAGGGAATCAATTCTTTGGCTGTCCCAGGACTTCGCTTAGCATTGTCTATCTCCCAAGGACTCAAGTAATGCTGGGAAGCGCGGACACCACTGTGGCCTGCAGAATCTTGGGAAAATATATTGGCCTCCTTTCAGGTGGTGGCCCACCGTGGGGCAGGGAGGGAGGCTCTGCAAGGATAACTTGGATGAGTAGGTTTTAACAAAAGTCTTCAGCTGACCTTCCCACCACCGTTGTTCAGCTTCACCAGCTGAAGTGCCTCTTAGGATCACAACCATCCTTCTCTTGGGTTAACTCCAAAGGATCTGAGCCTGCCAATGTGACCTGCTTGTCCACAAGCACTTGTCCTATGACTTGTCTTCTTTCTGGGACCTCTCACCCCCTCTTATGTCAGGGGGTGAGAGCTGGGCACATACAAGTCCCCCCTCTTACTGTAACTGAGCCCTGGGATGAAACATCATCCCCAGTTTCATGACTGAAATTTCCCAATGACGCTATGGTCCAGTGGTAATAGTGTAGGGCTGAGCCAGGCCTGAGGTGCTTAGCAACCCATGCACCCCTCACAGACTAACCCTGCATAGGGGTTTCTCAGGGAGACCCCTGAGAAAAAGCTGCCTGCCTTGCTGGCAGGGGCCTCTCACTGTAGTCATTATTCTCTGCTGGAAAAAAAAAAAAAAAGCCATGTTATGGAGATCTAATCACCTAGAGTCCTGTGCCCAGGGCCCCTGCAGGGGAATGAGTATTTTCCATGGGCCTATAGGCTGAGGAGAAGGCCAGGAAGTGAGGACTAGGCTGGTGTTTCCCTGCCAAGCCAGCAACTCTCAGTGCTTCCTTGCCCAGCATGCAGTCTTGAGATCGTGTCCTTGGCCTCGCAGGTGAGGGACTGAACATGCCTTATCTCAAATTTTGGGAGATACTTTTCCTGAACACTGGCGTGGCTTTCCTGGCATTCAGAAGAGGCTTCTCCTAATGAAAGAGCCCTAAAAACAGTGATCCATCAAAATGCAAATCCAATGGCATCTTTCTGCTGACTCAGTTCTTCCCCTGGCTTCTCACAGCTCTGGGGTAAACAGTGCATTCCATAGCAGGCCACATACCAGCTGGACCGTCTTCTGCCTTCTACCTGTGGAACACTCTTCCGGGCTCCAACCCTCTGGATTCTTTAGCAGCTGAAACACACCTTCTTTTTGCCCTTCGTCTTCCCACGTGTTCATATATCCTTCCCTGCACTTTTCATCAAGCTAATTTCTGCACAGCACTGCTTCCTTAAGGTCTCCTGTGACACTCAGGTCTTGTGTTTTACATCTTGTTATTTAATGGATCTGGATCCCTCTGCATGCTGGGAATTAGGGGCAGAGGGCTAAAAGACTTTCATCCTCTTCCTTTTTTACTTACTCTCCATCTGGGCCCCAGACCGTGGCTCTCAGGATGACACTTCTCAGAGAGGAGGCTTCTTCTTGATCCAAGAGTCAGCAGAAGTGTTTTGGATGAATTGTTATTCACATCTTGACATACAATTTAAAGTCAGGAGGGGAGGGAATGATAATGGCAGCAAAGCTATTGTCTCTGAACTCAGCATGGGTATGTTTCCCCCTACAGCCATGGATTGCATCAAGATTTCCCTCCAAAACCTCTCCAGGCTCGTTGACACCCTCCCCGCTCCTGAGGTGAGCGAGGTAGTGAGCCTCGTCTTGGGCTTTGTGAAGGACTCCTATCCCATCTCCTCAGCTCTGTTCCTGGAGTTTGAGACTGGGGAGGGCTACCCTCTGCTGCTCAAAGTGTTACTTCGGTAAGTGACTGTGCTTGGTGGGAAAAAAATAGCGGAAGCTGAGGCCCTCAGAATCATATATGATGCTCTGGAGAAAGATATTGAGGCTTCTCAGAATGTCTTCTGAAATACAAATCTCCATAGATGGTGTTCAGAGAGACTTTTATTGCAAAAGTAATACAATGTGCCACTGAGTTTGAAGCTACTTCTTTAGGAAACCAATGGGTGATCTCAATAATAGTTTTACCAAGTCCATTTGGTGGCATGTACTGCCGGCATGCCTGCTGCTCTGACAGTCACCTGTCAGGGTCTGCATCCTGTTTGAAAGGCTTTCTAGGATGGCTGTGATGAGCTCTGCCAGTATGATGGGGGGCTGGAAGTGCCCACAGACCAGCAAACACCAGGACTAGCCATCTACAAATGACTGGTAGAAGCTGATGGATATACACCCAGCAAAGTTGCCCCTTGGGTGGGATAGCTCTACTTTGCCTTCCAGAGTCCCCAGGAGGACTAAGCTCCAACTGCTCTTGCTTGGTAATGTTCCTGTGCTGGCTTGCTTCCATTCCCTGTCTCAGAGGGCCTTTCCCCTACTGTTATTATCAAATTATTCATCCATGGGAAACACACAATGATGAGACTCAGCAAAATCTGGACTAATTTCCTCCACTCTGAATTGCTATGTCCTCTTCAAGTTGGGTCCAGGGATTGGATAAACCAGGGGATGGAAGTGAAAGAAACTTGATGATGGCCCAAACTCTTCCACTGGTTATGGGGAAGCTCTATAAGGGCAAAGCCACAAAAATTCCCTTGGCTTAGCTCTTAATATGAGCAGCGTTGCTCATCTGTAGGGTGCAGATTACCATTGTGCTTTACAGATTTTGCTACATTCAGGCTTTTAGTCTAGAGGAATGACTCAGATAAGGGGACTGAAATCCCAAAGGAATGGAATTAGATGACAACATCCAGAGGACCTTCCTCCAAAGGCACACACAGAATGAACATCTCTATGTGCTTAGTCTGTCAGATTCAGACTTAGTCTTAAACAGACTCAGTCGTGTCTGACTCGTTGTGACCCCATGGACTATATAGCTCACTGTAGCTGTCCATGGAATTTCCCAGGCAAGAATACTGGAGTGGGTTGCCATTCCTTTCTCCAGGAGATCTTACCAATCCAGGGATGGAACCCAGGTCTCCTGCATTGTAGGCGGATTCTTTGCTGTCAGCCACCAGGGAAGCCCAAGGAACGTCTCTACAAGAATGCCATATTTTACACGAGTCTGGACCATCACTGACTGGTGACTGCTACCATGGATGTCTCTGTCATAGCAGTTCCTGAATATTTCTTTGGTTAAATGGCTGGTTGGTTTTCCCCAGACTTCTTGTGGAAGGCAAGAGGGAAAATAAACTGTTCAGGGAATGTCAGAAAAGACCCAAATCGGTTCATTTGTTTTCCTTTCTGCCTTAATGGAAGTCACACTGCGAACACTTTTACCCTTGACATGACATGCTCATTCTCCATGAGAAGAGCAAGGCAGCCCACTACACATAAGTAGCTGAAAATGAAAGAAATACCCACCCTTGAAATAAGCATGAAGAAATCTAATAAAGTCCAATTATTTCCCATGGGGTTTGTATTGTTGCTCTTCTGAAATATCAAATCTCTCATTTTGGGAGTGCTCCTGCCCTGCTGGTGCCTGAAGCCCATACATTTTGGGAGTCCTACCATGGAAAGCAGCTCTCCTGTGAGCAGATGCTGTGGCTCTTCACAGGTTTCTCTGTATTGTATCTCTGCAAGTCCTTAGATCTAGGGCTGATGCTTGCAAACAGAGTGACTTTTATCCACCCCACCCCCGCCCCGCCCACTGCCATGCCTTCTGGTGCTAAACTGCTGGAGATCTTTGGGGTCATGCCAAGCACTGTGATCTTCATTGCCTCTGCCTCCCTGTGAAGAGCACCTTGAGCAAACCTGGCTGTTCTGTCCAAGACATTCAGGAAGCTGATCTCATCTGTCCCCACAGGTACGACGGACTGACCCAGAGTGAGGTTGACCCCCACCTGGAGGAGCTTCTCGGGCTGGTGGTATGGCTGACAACCTGTGGGAGGTCAGAGCTGAAGGTGTTCGACAGCATCACTTACCCGCAGCTGGAAGGCTTCAAGTTCCATCACGAGGCTTCTGGTGGGTCTCTGGGCGTCTCTGGGTGCCTTGTGCCCTGACAAGGCTATGCAGATCATTTCCTGATTCTCTGCGCAGAAACAAACATGTGGCACCTGTCAGTGACTCAGCAGGGTCTGATTCTGTCATGCCTTTGGGGGATTGCCTATGTATTTAGAATCTCTCCTTTATACATTTTCCCAAATGCCCTGGTTGAGACTTAGAGGAAATGTTTGCTCAAATAATGGAGACAGTCTGTGATTTCCATTCTCACCTCTGATGTGACTTACTTGGTGACATCTGCTTGTCTAACAGGGGCTGATGGCCCTGGAATAGCAACCCAGGCTCAGAGTTAGTGCCTCCTTAGTTCTATGATATTTTGATTGGTTGTTTGACTGATGAATTCAATCAACATGTACTGATGCTTCTGTCGAGCAGCCACTCTGCACCATGCTGGAAACCATGGTGAACATGCCACGTGTCTCTGCCTTAAAGATGCTCTACAGAGACTGTCACATAAACCCCGAGCTATAATCTATTCAATAACTGGCTGATAAAATAAGAACAGAGGTGACACTAGGGGTGAGGTTTAGCTCTGCTTGGGTCAGTCAGGAACATGTAGAGAGTCTCATTCAAGAGAGGTTTCAAGGCAAAGGATGGGTGGGCCAGGAAGGAAGGAGGGGGACAAAGTGGAGGGTGAAAAGCTGTGGGGCCAGTGTAGGAAAAGCCACTGGATGTGACTCCAGCAGAAACACAGGGCAGTGTGTGGATTAGAGAGGAGTTTCAGAAACATTTCGAGTGTCTGAGGCAGAGAGAGCTGTAAGTGGAGAGTTCTGTGAGGAAGTGTCTCAAGGGCAAGATAGAGTGAGACTTGACCTTGTATCTGGAGAGAAAAGGGGGGATGGTCTTTTTATTTAACAGCTTGTCTAGAAATGAAACTGACTTTGCTTAGTAATCTTTAACATCATTTGATTTTAACTAATTAAAACCAGTCCTCCAGCCCTGTGCTGCCCAATGGAAATATAATGTGAGCCACATTACATAGTTTTAAATGTTCTAATTACAAAATTGTAAAAATTAAGAAGAAACAAGCTAAATTATTTTTCATATTATATTTTATTTAACTCTATATAGCCAAAATATTACCATCAAAAATGTGATCATACAAATAACTGTTAATGATTTTTTTTCATCGTGTTCTTTTCTTTGTACTATGTCGTAGAAATCTGGCATGTATTTTTAACTTAGGCACACCTGGGTTCACATTAGCCACATTTCAATGCTTAATCAGCCAGCACATCTTGGACAATGCAGTTCTAACCTTACTCATACCCTATGCAGATGGCTTCTCTGGACTTCTGAAAGATATTTACTACAGGAATTAGAAAGTAGAAACTTTAAATGGCACATCCTTGTGATAATTCAACCACACATTTCTAGGCATAGTCAGGAGAAATGACTTGCAGGATGATTCCTTTTTGCATCTTCAGGGGTGACTGTGAAGAATCTTCAGGCCTTTCAAGTCCTGCAGAATGTTTTCCACAAAGTCAGCGACCCCATCCTCTGCACCAAAGTCCTGTCATCCATTAGGACCATGTGGACCTGGAACGCCCGCAACTTCTTCCTGCTGGAGTGGACCCTGCAGCCCATCTCGCAGTTTGTGGAGATCGTGCCCCTGAAGCCGACCCTGGTGCAGAGGCACTTCTTCCAAATGCTGGAGGCCCTGGTGTTTGAGCTGCGTTACGTGCCCCATGAGATCCTGCGGAAGGTGCAGCGCCTGATCCAGGAGAGCCCGGAGTCGCTCTGTACCCTCGTGGCCCTGCAGAGCATCCTCAGGATTGCTGGTGGTGACCCGCTCTTCACTGACATCTTCCGGGACTCGGGGCTTCTGGGTCTGCTGCTGGCCCAGCTGCGGAAGCAGGCCAAGATCCTCAGGAAGTCAGGTGCCTCCCTGGAGTGTCAGGAGGGGAAGTGGGGAATGGGCCGGGGTCAGTGTTAGCTGGGCCTGGTCTGTGTGCCAGCCTCACCACCCATCAACATAACAGAGAGATGTGAGTGTGCACGCCTGGTGCCCTGAAGGTTAGAGAGAGTACCCTTGGGATATGTGGCTTCACAGAGCAGGCAGCCTCCCTGTTTTCTGTAACTTGCTCGCTCTTCCCCATGATAAGTTGAGAGGGCTAGGTGTAACTTTAAGCCAACCCATGGGCTGACTCAGGCCTGATGAGTTCTAAGCTATCAGATACCTCTGGCACCAGTTATTGTCTGCCTGCGTAGATGGGTAGATGGGGCGACAACATGACAGGGCCTCAGGAATGCCAAAGGGAAAGGGCTTTCAGAGAGGCCTGAAGCTCTGGGTGGGGGAAAGATGTGGGATCAGCTCTGGGGTCTACTGGAATATGGCCACCTTGCTCACATGGTGCTGTAGGGCCCAGTGATCTCCCACTCGGAACAGAGGTCAACAACCAGGGCCTTGCTGGCCCAGCTTGCCCCTCTAACCTTGGCAATGCTTTTCTGTGCCCTGCTGAGTTGTATACCCATGGCTTCTTGGCAACATCCCCTCACCTCTGCCTCAAGAGTGCTGGCCTGGGTTCTTTTCCTGCCTAACCATGCCCCATGTACATACCTTGGATTTTTCTATAAGCCTTCCGGGGGACTCTGATGTAATTCAAGTTGGAGAGCTTCTGATGTAGGGATTGTAGGGTCACATCTTACAAGTTGGGATGCACACTCCTTTATAATGGAAGCATGATATTCATCTTTCTTTAAGAAGATAGACATTGGACATGTCAATGGACATGAGTTTGAGCAAACTCCAAGAGACAGTAAAGAACAGGGAAACCTGGTGTGCTGCAGTCCATGGGATCGCAGAGTTGGACATGACCTAGTGACTGAACAACGACAACAAACAGGATAGAAAAGTAATGGAATTGGAGATTTGGAGCCATATCACATGTACTTAAATTTTTTTTTCATTGTTTCTTAAATATGGCAGGAAACAAAGAGTTCAATCCTGGAGTTCAAGATACAGAAAGAGAACTGACTTGTGTGATGCTGAAAACTGTGGTCACGCTTCTAAAAGGGTCAGTTAGGAATGCAGGTAAGAATGGTACCAAATTCACATTGTGACTGCTTGGGGAAACACTGACTATTTCCTGATGATTTATGTCACTGTTCAAAGTCTATATCCAAAGAATAGCCAACACTATGGCTGTGGCTAACGTCCATTTACCGCTTTATGTCTGGTGATCATCAGTAAATTGGTAGACACATCAGCTGACACTTTTTACTGTTTAGGTTGCTAAATAAGGTTGTGAGTCAAAGAGTTATCTTAAATTTATGAGACCGCAGAAACCCCATTTCTCTCCAGTAAAATCTTTTAATATCCTGCTGCACTGATTATAGTTTCTTTTATAAAAAGATTCAAATTGTAAAATATTGTCATCATTTTTAGAGACATAATTTGATGTGCTTCTAGCCCATGATGGATTTAGTAGCTTCATTCATTAAAAAAAAAAATTTAGCTTCCTTAGATCATGTGACTCCCATGTTTAAAAATACATGCATGCATGTTATACTATGAAGCAGATGCATCAACAAAGTGACATGAGTGGGTTTGGTGATCTGGTGCATCTTTACCTGGGGCCCTCACAGTCAACTATACCAACTGTGAATGACTATTTCATTATGGGAGAGGATCTCTAATGTGAGACTATAAAAGATTTCCTGGAGGTTCTGGTTAAAAGGGAGATACATATTCCTAGGCTCCCTCCCAGAGATCTAATTATCAGGTCAAGGTAGAGCCCAGAAATCTACTTTTAAACAGGCCCCCTAGGTGATTCCATGTAAGGAATACTTGGCCCATAATTGGGAAATCCTGCTTCATGGAGTTGACCAGCTCAAATCTACATCATGCCATTTGAATGATCCAGTTACTTTCTGGTTCTTATTCTACATGTAAGTACTCCAAAGATCAATCCTGGGGAAGAAATTCTTAAGATTACTTTTAAACAAAAAACATACCATTAGCCAAATTTCTTTGATTCTGCTCCCCCACCATCTCAAGAAACTGCCTATGAATTAAATTCATTCTTAAATTCTGGCTTGCTTTCAACAAGACTTTAGGCAGAGATAAGAATTGATAAGATAAGAATTGCCCTCAGTCGGTAAAGCATCTGCCTACAATGCGGGAGACCTGGGTTTGATCCCTGGGTTGGGAAGATCCCCTGCAGAAGGAAATGGCAACCCACTCTAGTATTCTTGCCTGGAAAATCCCATGGACTGAGGATCCTGGTAGGCTACAGTCCATGGGGTCGCAAAGAGTCGGACACGACTGAGCGCCTTCACTCACTTCACTAGATTAGGGAATTATGTGGAAATAAGTGTCAGAGGTATGTCCAATTAAAGTTTATATTACTTTGAAAAGGGGGGGGGCATGGTTTCAAAAGCAGAATTCTCACTAGAGAAGTAAGCGGTTTTCTTTTTAATTCTCAGCTACATAGTTTCTCTATTCCTCTTCTTATTTTAACAGTAAGTACTGATTTTGAAAAAAAAGTTTCTAATGGGTGGAAAAAACACATACATATGTAGCCAAACAAACTTGGAAATTGTAAAAAAAAGCTGTCCTTATAATTGAAACTAAGGTGCCAAGGCACCCATCACTCTAGCAATACTGTCTGTCTGGTCCCCAGTTGTCCTGAAAGACCATGGCATGGTCCCCTTCATCAAGATCTTCCTGGATGATGAGTGCTACCGGGGAGCCTCACTCAGCATCTTGGAGCAGCTCTCAGTCATCAACGCCGAGGAGTACATGAGCATCACTGTGGGCGCTTTGTGCTCGTCCACTCAAGGGGAAATACAGCTGAAACTGGATCTCCTGAAGGTGATGTCACGTCCTCCTTTGTGATGGGCTTTCCTGTGGACATGCAGCAAGTGATCGGCATTTGCCCATGCATTCATTCCTTCACTTGGTCACTTATCACACAGGTAGAGCAGTACTAGCAACTGTCACAGATAAACCCCACCGACTCAATAGCCTGGCACGTTAGAGGTTTCTTACGTGTGGTCCAATCAGGAACTGGGAGGAACGTCATTCAGGGACTACTGTCACCTCGGCATCTAATCCAGCCAGCAGCAAAGGAAGGGAGAGCAAAGAAAATGGCACACATTCTTTTTCTGGCCTAGAACTGGCGCGTGTGCAATTTTCCTTGGGCAGGATTCATCCGGATGCATGAGGTGCCAGGAAATGTAGCCCTTGATTGGGCAGCTACTTCCCAGCCACACTGTAAACTATGGACGTGGAGCCCGAATCGGTGGTGGCCAAGCTGCTGCCTTGTTTAATTGCCCAGCTTTTAGTGAGCATCTACCTGTTACCAGGCCTGATGCTGAGTGCCCAGGACACACAGTTGAATGAAACTCAGCCTTTGCTAACTGGTAGCTCTAGACTAGGACTAATATTAAGTGAGCAATCATGGTGATGCAGCATGGCTATGCCCTGGTAGATGCTGAAAGTAAGCTGCCATGGGAACAGAGAAGTAGAAACCAGTGTTGCCTTGCATGTTTGAGGAAGGGTCACAGAGGAGCGAACGTCTGAACCGGGAAGAGGAAGCCAAAGGCAGTCAAAGGCACAGTAACAGTGCTTACACAAGGAGAGGTCAAACCAGGGTGTCCCCTTTGGACAACAAAGAAAAGCATATATTTTTGTTTTTATAATATTGTTAACCATCATCAAATTGTCTTAAAATAGTTAAAGATGATAATAAGTATCATCAGCCTTACAGCTCTCACAATTTCCTTTCTGTTCCTGCTTTTCCATTTCTTTTGTCTGTGGGGGCTTATACCTTTAACTAAAATACCCTATCTTTTGTTTATGGCTGTTTAAGAGAAAAGCAGACTGAAATGCAAATATCCCCCAGGGAACTGATTTGGGGACCTGTCACGTCTATGTGCAAAAGAACCCTGTATGCAATACACACTCCTGTTTCATTACCATGTTATACTGGACCACTGGTGAATTTTGTATAACACAAAGTTGCTCTCACTTCCAAAATTAAACCCTCAACCATATTTAGCCATGACTATCTCAGTACAAAGCCATTTTAACAGTTAGAGAATGACATTCAGTTTATTTTACCTACTTAATTTCTCAGCAAAGCCAGTGTCAGGCACTGATGTAGCTGTGTTCATGTAATCTGATGACCTAAGCCTGTAGAGCTCACCTTAGCCAATGTGTCAGGAGAAGCCCACCCAAAAGTGACATTTTGACTATAGTTATTGTGCATTTCATAGATGACAACGACCAAAACTGATTTAATCACAGAGTCAAAAAAGTCAGTTCAAGGTAATGGAACAAAAAAGGAAAGTTAAAGATACTGGAGTTCCATGGTTATGTGAAGTAACAGATCCGAAGGGAGCATGTAGAGGGGAGATTAAGGGAGAGAGATAGCAAGAATTAATGAGAGTTAATAGTTGGAAAGCACCTTGGCTTCATGTGGTCCAGTCCTGATGTGGCAGTAGAGACAGACCTGGAGAGATTCTAACACTCAAAGATGAAGTTGAATTTGAGCCTAAGACTAGTGACTAAAAATTTGGTGATCTTTTCTCTTCACCATGCTCTTTGTTGAATTTTTTTCTCATATGTCTCTGTTCACCTTAATTTGAATGAGGGACAGGGAAGGCAGGGAGCAAGGCAGTCAGGACTTTGATTTTCTATTGGATGAATAATTGGAATCCCTAACTGTACCTGGTATTTTCACATTTATAGTCAAACAGATCCATGGAGAGGAAAGTTTTGGAGAGTACAGTGTTTTTGTGTCTATTACAGAAAAACTCTCTGCTTTGCTCCAAAGTTCATCTTGTTTATCCGATAGCCCAGAGGCACCTTACTGGAGTGTCAGACCTTCGGTAATAAGACTGAATTTCCAGAATTAGCAATGTGAAGCCATGGTGTTTTACAGATTCAATATCATTTCAGTATCACACTATCAAGAGAGTATATTAGAGATGAATACTGTGTGAGCTTTTTTAAACACAGCCATACCCTGGGCTTCCCTCATAGCTCAGTTGGTAAAGAATCTTCCTGCAATGCAGGAGACCCCGGTTTGATTCTTGGGTGGGAAAGATCCTCTGGAGAAGGGATAGGCTACCTCCACTCCAGTATTCTGGCCTGGAGAATTCCCTGGACTGCATAGTCCGTGGGGTTGCAAAGAGTCAGACAGGACTGAATGACTTTCACTTTCACTTTCACCCTGCACTCAATGTGCTGTCTTCTTCCTGGGTACCAAGTTACTGCTGGGCACTTCCTGGGTACCAAGTTACCTCCCCACTGGGCAGTGGGGAGGGTGCCTGGAGCCTCCATGGCTCTTCTGGGGCCAGGCTGATAACACACGGAAGCTCTGGTGGGTTGTGGGGAAGGATTGGGCCCCAGAGCCTGTTCCAGCCTTGCCCACCATCGAGTCCTGTGAGCAACTAGCCAACATTTGCTGGAATCTGATGTGAGATAGGCCTTTGTTCTAAATCACTTTGGGAACCCCTTGGGAAACAAAGATGTAAAATTAGTTCTGGCTAGATTTCCCTTTTTGGTAGTTGAGAGTGTGCCTGCACTGTGCCTGCAAAGTGGGTCAGATGTAGAATGAAGGGGAAGTGATGGAATGTGGGGACCTCAAAGGCAGGACCTTCCACCCCACCACCTGATAAAGGTTTGCCATCTCTGAAGTATACTCACATCATGGTGCCACCCTCGCTTCCTTTCTCTGAGAATTAGCCAGCTGCTCTGGAGGAGAAAATTCCTCCAGAAACACGTGACTTAAGGCAGTTGCTTCCAAAAATCCAGTGGTGCTTCCATACCAATACAGAAGCACATGTGACTTCACCACCTAATTCTGGCAAATGATAACCGAGTTAAAGAATAATGTAAGCAAATGAATTTCCTCTCCACGGCCAGTGGGACTATGATTGGGTTATGCACAAATTCAGATTGATTTGCTAATATACATTTAGCTGTTCAACTCTGAGCTTAATTGCATTACCTCACCCGTCTTCCAGCATGACACACGGAAAATTATGAGGAATAACAAATAATAGAATGTGAAATAAATCCTGTTAGTCCTAACATAGTTAGCGCTTTGCAGCAGACATCCATTTTATAGATTCAAGCTGGAGGAATACTAACTCAGAGACGATGACATGGTAACTGAGTTAAGGAGGAGAAAATGTGCTTAACGCTGACCTTTCTTGAAATGTGTCAACCCTAGCCTGATTACTTTGACTTCAGCTGATTAAATTTACTCCCTTCCGCAGACTTGCAAGCCTAGGTGATGCATTATCATGCAAAGTTGAATGACAGTAATGGAGACCCTCCTCCTAGGCCCCCAGTTCCTGACAAATCGTTTCTCGAAGTAGCGCAGTATTTATTTTCCTTTATGATAGAAATGTTTCTCTTTAGTTGCTATGAAATTAAGTCTTTGTAATTAGATTTTGGACTCTTTACTTTATGACTCTGCAAATATGAAATTAACCCCATCCCAAGAAATAATAGAGAAGCCTGAGTTCTAATGACATTACCCCCATTTTAGATAATGACTCTGAATTTAATAAATCAAACAAAGCAACAATTAAGGATAGCCATTCCTTTTTTTCTTCCCCCTTCCCTATAGGAGGAGAGAAGTGCCATCTAGGAATTAAGGGGATAGACCCTCTGAGAGACACAGATCATAAGGATAGCTATTTTTGTGTTGATCTCTTTTTAAAATATCTGCTCTTAGTACTCAGAATGACGGAGATCTGTTGAGCAATATTTGGTATAAAACTGGATAATTGGAAGGTGGTTTCTTAAGGGAATAGGGGAGTTTTAGTGGTCATCTAGCACTCAGACAATTGCTTATAATCTGATTAGTTTTATTTGTTAATCATTCTCTCTTTTGGGTGTTTATTTTGTCACATGTCATGTGATAAGCAGAAGACTTCCATTCATTCCATTTGCCCTGAATAACGTAATAGTGGTTTTCAGAACTATTGAAAGCACTCACATAAATTTAGACAGTTTAACACCCTAGAGCCTCAGATTTGTTGATGTATTGGTACTTTATTTATTTTTTATGGCACTAGTCACATCGAGACAGGTTGAGATAGTGCTGAACCACACGCTAATGGTCAGTCAGCCTTTCGTGTGTATTATCAGATGGCAGGAAGAGACTACCACCACTCAGCATACTTGAAGGTTAGAGCGCATTTCCACCTTGGTAAAGTAGTGTTAATTCTGTCCAGAGTGAGTTGCTCATACAAGGCAGGCACAGACAACTGGCTCCAGAATCCCAGGGTTGGAGGTAGGATTTTGGGAAGGCAGCTGTGGCGATGCTGTGTATTCAGAGAAAGTCCCTGCCTAGTCTAGGGAACTCTGCGCTGCTAAACCATAAGCTTTTACATTCACCAACATTACTATCCTGGAGAATCTGTTCTAATAGTCTTCATATAATCTTCTCTGTAAGGACCTGTCTATAAATGCAATCCTTCCTGAGTTTTGAGCCAAATACAGAAATAGTTGGACTTCCCTGCTGGCTCAGTGGTAAAGAATCTGCCTGCCAATGCAATAGACACGGGTTTGATCCCTGAGTCAGGAAGCTCCCCTGGAAAAGGATACAGCAACCCACTCCAGTATTCCTGCCTGAGAAACCCCACGGATGGAGGAGCATGGCAGGCTACAGCCCATGGGGTTGCAAAAGAGTCGGACATGACTTAGTGACTAAACAAAAACAGTAGTTAAGTCATATCCTCACCTAGGAGGAGAAAGCAGCTATCACCAGAAACACTAGTCTTTAGTGTTTCAATTTGCCTCTATCTGTCAGACAGTCTGGAAAGCCCATTTCCCTGAAGCATATCCCATGACTCTGATTTGATCCCCTGTTAGTGGGTGACCCTGATGTTGGGTTTTCTTTTAAAGAACGAAATAATTCAATTTCCCCACAGCCATCCCCCTGAGCTGTGGTGGGCAATGATTGATCTAACCACCATAAGTATGCATTTCCTTTTCCTATAACTGGGAAAAGATCAATTGACCCATATTGGTAAGGATGAATCTTTCTACTTCACTCTATATGATAATTTTTCCATTTTGAGCATAATCATGACCTTTGGCCTTGTATAGATCCTCCTAGTTTCTACAGTCTTTGTTTTATTTACTTGAAATGTCATTGATGGGGCAGTGGGAACACTTTAAGCAGCTTCTCAGTCATCATTTCTCTCCATCTTTGAGAGAGTCCTTGCTTGTGTGCATTAGCTTAGTTCTGGCTCATTTCACGCTTTCCTACCGCATGCCTGGGTTTACCGTCCGCCAAGCAGTTCAAGCTTCTTGTAGCAGAATATAATCTTAGATAACAAAATTTGGGTTCCAGTGGTACACATTATATTGTTTCAGACAAACACTAGTGTTAGGTTAGAGTTATCAGCATTTTAGAGATAGAACTAGAAAATTACTTTCCCCCGCAAAGTATATGACTTCATATTTCATATTTACCTATAACTTTACTGAGTTTCTATTTGACTTTCTCTATATGAGAATTTAGAAATCTAGTCCCTTCGCTCCCTTTTCTGACCCATCAACTTTCTCTTTGTCGTTGGATTTTCATGTATTATGCCACAGACTATCACCCTAAGCCATGTATTTAAGACACAGCTTCACTCCTCTCTCCCAAATTAGGAACTTTTTTTTCTTTATTTTTTCTCTTTGAACCTTGTTTCAAGCATCCTGAAATTGACTTTAAGTTGTGCCTGCCAAGAAAATTCTCTTTCCTGTCACTAGAATATTAAACATTGTAAAGGATGAAACAACTCAAATGCTCCTCCAGTACCTACTAGCAAAACTACAGGGACTAGTCATTTTCTTAAGAAACCTGGGTGTTTGATGGAGTCCCATTCAATTTTAATGAATAATAAACAGCTAAATACCAAAATCTAGAGGCTTTTGATATTATCTAAAATCATCCATCCATTCTTCACTCTTAGGTGTGAGACTTTAGCCCAGAATGAGAACTTCTTAAGAGCAGTCCTTCTTTCCTTCTAAAACATTTACTGAGCACCTAGTGTATATCATGGATACTAAGATCAAAGACTAGTACATCAGAAGTGCTTAGTAAATGTTTGATTTCAGAGGGAATTAAAAGTTTGGCTGTCCAGAAAAACCTCAGCAGTCTTGCAAAGATAGATTCTACTATGTGCATTTTAACAGCCTAAACTCCACACACGGTCTGTATTATATGATATAGCCATATGTTTCCCTCCATTAAGGATTTCTCTTTTCCACCTTAATTCCCTTGTATATTAACACCAGGTTTTAAGTAGATTTGTTTGACTATCTTCTATTTAGTAGAAGTACCTGCGCTTGCACATAGACGAAGGCAAATAGTAATAAACTGCTTTATATAGATTTCACTGTGTTTCCTTTTGCAATATAGGAAGTGGTTCATTCCATGAGTTTAGCAAGTATTTATTAAGTAGGTGCCACAATCCACAGCAGTGAGTAAGCCTGATTTCATGTCACTTCAATCTAGAGGAAGGCTGAGGGGCAACCGAAACTAAAATAAAGAGGAACAGTACTGACCTTCCAATATTTCAGAATTGCCCCTGGGTAACTCGCTATTCCTCTGGCATGGATCCTGGAGGAGCATCAGGAATGCTCTGGCAATGCTGGGCTGGGGCTCAGCATTAAAGATCTGCTGCCTGGACCTCACACACTTTTATCTCATTGGTTTCAGTCTCTGCTCCGGATCCTGGAGACCCCCAAAGGCCGCGCTGCTTTCAGAGTCTCCAGTGGGTTCAACGGGCTGCTGTCCCTTCTCTCTGACCTGGAGGGGTCTCTCCAGGAGCCCCCACTGCAGACGTCGGGGGCAGTGTCCCCCAGCCAGACCCTGGACCTTGTCCTGCACACCCTCTGTGCTTTGTCTGCTGCACTGTACCTGGACCCTGTCAACGGTGACTTCTTTAGGAGGACCGGGCTCTTTGAGAAGCTGGCCGAGGACCTCTGCTTGCTGGGCTGTTTTGGGGCCCTGGAGGAAGAGGACGCCCCTCCGCCCTCCTGTGAGGACACAAAGGCCAGGCCATTTGCTGACCTGCTGAGTGCAGCCTTCTCCTCTGCCAGCCTGCTCCCACCCAAGATCCAGAGCTGCCTGCAGATCCTCAGCTTTCTGGACAGCATGGCCCGAGGCACCCTCCACCTGCGCAGGGACCTGAAGGATGCCCCGAGGACCAGGCAGGAGCTAGTGGTGGACCCTCAGAGGGCAGAACCTGGCTGTGACTCCCAGGGAAACTTCAAGCAGTGGCCAGACGCGGAAGAGAGGTAGAGCTTTGCCGCCTGCTTCCCTAATCTGTCCTCGGTGTGTCTGTCTCCTGCGTCCCGTGCACAAATTCTGCGCATGCGTTGTACAAAGTGGGTGTGTGGAAAGTTACACTGCTACTAACCCTCCTGAGTCCATTCCCAGCAAGGGCCCTCCTACCTGATGTTTAAGTCAATAGGAGACCAAAGCGGATTCAGAAGCAAAGGAAACCTTTCTTCTTTTAACAGAGAATGGAGAGCTGCAAGCTCTCTTGCTCTCTGGACAAGCCTGGGGCGGGGCTGCCTTTAGGGATCCTGTGTAGAGGGGAGGGGAGGAGATGGCAGTGCTGGGCGCACCGTCACTGAACTTGGCCCACTGCCACTATCTTGAATCGAGTATGGTGCACCTCGCTTCTGCACCGGATCTGCGGGTTGCCGTGTCCTGCACCAGGATCTCCGGTCTGAAGTGCCTGCCCGGTGCAGGGCCTCTGCATGCAGTAACCAATGAACACGTGAAACTAGACTAAGCACAAAGGAAGAGGTTAGACCTTATCTTATCACCCAGATTCCATCTTATGTTTCCTGGGGATCCCAGCGGGCTTTGCTGGTGACAGCACGATTTTGTTTCCTTTAAATCAAGTTCACTTTGTCTTGGTTAACTTTGTCTTTTCTTTTCTTTAAATGAAGTTAACTTCGCCCCCCTACCCTGAGAGCTGGCAGAAAACCAGTCTGACTCAGTTCAGGGTCGGGGGATGCTGATGAGTCCCACGAGAACCAGGGACGCTTACCTGATCGTGGAAACTGAGGGCAGAGCTCTGCTGCGCACAGGCTCACTTTCTCCTTTGGCATCTCTGCTGTCTCTAGGAGCCTCGGTGCCTGGGCCCAGCCTCTTTGGTGTGCTGAGTAGCCTTTGCCTTCCTAGATCGCATCTCCAGCCTGCCAGCGCACTGCCAGGGCGTGGGTGAGGTCCTTGACTTGTGAAACACAAACCATAGCATCCTTCCCAATCATGGAACTCTTTTTGTTCTTTCTTGCTGCTTCCATTTCCCCTAACAAGGACATCTCTTCTGCAGGCCAATCTTCTCAAGGACCTGACTTTGATAAACAATTTTTTGCTTTCCTTCCTATAACACAGAATTCCACTAAAGTGAGGGATCACAAAGAACTGCCCACCCCCCTTGTATCAGGAGGGGGAAAATGAAAGAACAAAGCAACAGAATAGTTGGTATCTTTTTTTCATTCCTCTGAAGCATCAATGATAAGACAAAAATTAATATTGCAGTAAACTATCCTGCCTGCCACCTCTCCAGGTCACGTTGCCTTTACCACCACAGGATTCTCTTCTCAAAGACATTGCACATGTTTATCCAAAGTGAGCACTGTGTGTGTCAGCCAGACAGCAGTACTGGGAGCTGGTGGTGAGGGGATTGGATGTCAGTTCTCCAACCACTGTGATAATCGTGATTGTTCTTGTTTCATCGGTTAATCTGGTAAATCAATTTGTTTTCTGACCTTGCATTCCTTCAGAATTTGCTCATGATGTTAATTATTGCTGGATTTGATTTGCTGACTTTTTAAAAACATTTTTTGTTTGTGAGAAAGTTCAGCCTTTCACACTTTCTTCACTATTTTTACTGTCAAATTTATGCTAGTCTAATCAGTTGGGCGGTGTTCCCTCTTAGCTATGTAATAGAACTTGCCAGTAAAACCTCAGGACCCTGATGTTTTCTTGTGAGAAAGTTTATTCTTTTTTCTTTTTTAAAGAGCAGCTTCTTTATTGAGACATAACTTATTGAGACATAACACCATAAAATTCACCCATTTAAAATGTACAATTGACTGTTTTTCTTGTATATTCACAGAATTATATGATCATTACCACAGTTGATTAGAACATTTTTATCACACCAAAAAGAAACTCCATACCCGTTATCCTTTATTTTCCATTTCCTCCACCCCTACCTCCATTCCCAGGCAACCATTAATTTATTTTCTGTCTTTACTGACTTGTCTATTCTAGATATATCTTAAACAGAATAGTAGAGTATGTGATTTTTTTGTTTCTGGTTCTTTCATTTAGCATAATGTTTTCAAGGTTCATCCATGTTGTAGCATGTATCAGTACTTAATTCTTTTTATTGACAAATAATATTCCAGTGTGTGTACCACAGTTAATGGGTTCATAACAGCTGATGGACACTTGGGTTGTTTTCACTTTAGGGCTATTATGAATAATACTGCTATGAACATTCATGAACAAGATTGTTGTGGATACATGTTTGTGTATCTCTTGGCTAGATACCTAACAGTAGAATGACTAAATTGTATGGTAACTCTATGTTTAACATTTTGAGGAACTACAAATCATTATCCAGAATGCCTGCTCCATTTTATGTTCTTACTAGTAGTGTGTGAGGGCTTAGTTTGAACATCTTTTTGTCAACTCTTGTGATTTTCTCTTTGACTATAGCCCTCCTAATGGGGATGATGTGGTATCTTATTGGGCTTTTGATTTTCATTTCCTTGAAGGCTGTTGATATTGAGAATCTTTTCATGTACTTGTTGGCTACTTGTGTATCTTCTTTGGACAAAAGTCTATTAGACTCTGCGCCTTTTAAAAATTGAGGTGACACTGGTTTATAGCTATTTGTTTCATGTTTACAACATTATAATTCGACTTCTGTATATACTATAGTGTGATTACCACCAAAAATCTTGTTTCCATTCATCACCATACAGTTGATCCATCTTACCCATTTTGCCCTCCTGCAACCCTTCTTCCCTTCCTCTAACCACCAATCTGTTATCTGTATCTATGTTTTTATTTTTTCATTTTTAATTCTTTTGGCTGCACAGCATAAAGGATCTCAGTTCCCCTGACTGAGATCCCTCCAGTGGAAGCATGGAGTCTAACCACTGGGCAGCCAGGGAATTCCTTCTATGGGTTTGTTTTGGTTTTCTTCTATTTATTCACTTATTTTTGTACTTTTTATATTCTACATATGAGTGAAATCATACATTATCTTTTCCATCTGACATTTCAAGTAACATAATACCCTCAAGGTCCATTTATATTGTAAATGGCAAGATTTCATATTTTTATGGCTGTGTAGTATTCCACTGTGTATGTGTATGTGTGCATGTGTATCACATCTTCTTATCCATTAATCTGTTGATGGGCACTTAGATCATTTCCTTATCTTGGCTATTGTAAATAAAGTTGCAGTGAACGTAACAGTGTATATATCTCTTTGAGTTAACGTTTTCATATCCTTTGGATAAATACCCAGAAGCAGAATAGTTGGACCATATGGTGGTACTGTTCTTAATTTTTTGCAAGATCTCCATGATGTTTATTTACATTCCCACCAACAGTGTATGAGAGTTCCTCTTCTCTGCACCCTTGCAAATACTTGTTATTGCCTATTTTTTTTTTTTAATAATAGCCACCCTATTGGACATAAGGTAATATCTTATTGTGATTTTGCTTTGCATTTTCCTAATAATTAGTAATGTTGAACATTTTTTCAGGTGCCTGTTGGCCACCTGCATGTAATTTTTGTAATGTCTACTTAGAGTTCTGTCTATTTAAAAAATTTGTTCTTTTGTTGTTGAGTTGCATGAGTTCTTTATATATGTTTTGATTACTATAGCTTTGTAGTATAATTTGAAATTAGAGAGTGTGACACCTTCAACTTTGTCCTTTTTTTCTCAGAATTGCTTTGGGTATTCAAGGCTGTCTGTGGTTCCATACAAATTTTAGAACTTTTACATTCTATTTCTGTGGAAAATATGTTGAAACTTTGATAGGAATTGCATTGAAGCTGTAGATTGTTTTTGGTAATATGGAAATTTTAACAATGTTAATTCTTCCAATACTATAGAAAATAAGAGTGGTGAGAGTGGGTATACATGTTTCTTATCTAAGAGAAAACGCTTTGTTTTTCACTGTTCAGTAAGATGTTAGCTGGATTTGACATATGTTATTTATAACCTTTATTCATTTTATTGAGAGTTTTAAAAATCATAAATGGATGTTGAATCTTGTCAGATGCTTTTCCTTCATCTGTTGAGATACTCGTATGATTTGTATTCTTTTGTTTATATGGTGTATCATATTGATTGATTTGTGGATGTGACTCACACTTGTATCCTTAGAATAAATCCCACTTGATGATGGTGTGTAATCCTTTTAATGTGTTGTTGCATTTGGTTTGCTACTATTTTGTTGAGAATTTTTGCATCTATGTTTTAAAGACATTGGCCTATAATTTTCTTTTTTTGTTTTGTTCTTGTCTGGTTTTGGTATCAAGGTAGTGCTGGCCTCATAAAGTTAATTAGAAAGCATGCCCCTGTCTTCAATTTTTTGTTTGATATCCTTCTTTTAATGTTTGGTAAAATGTGCCAGTTGTCTGATCCTGGGCTTCTGTTTTTTGTGATATTTTTGATTACTGTTTCAGTCATCAATAGTGATCAGTCTGTTTAGATTTTCTGTTTCTCCATGAATCAGTCTTAGAAAGTTGTTTGTTCTAAGATTTTATCTATTTCCTTTAGGTTGTCCAATTTGTTGATGTATAGCAGTTCAGAGTACTCTTGTACAATCCTTTGTATTTCTATGATATCTGTAATAATTTCTCAAGTTTCTGATTTTATGTGAGCCTTCTCTCTTTTTATGTTGGTGAGTCTGGCTAAAAATTTGTCAATTTTGCTTGTCTTTTCAAAGAACCAGGTTTTAGTTTCATTCTATTGTCTTTTTAGTCTCTAATTTATTTCCACCAGGTTTTTCTGTTTTTTGTTTTTTATTTCCTTCCTTCTGCCGACTTAGGGCTTTGTTTCTTCTTCTTTTCTACTTCTTTAGGTGTAAGCTTAGGCTGTTTTTAATGAGATTTTTCTTATTTCTTGGGGTAAGCCTGTGTTGCTATAAACTTCCCTTTTAGAATTGTTTTTGCTGCATCACATAGATTTTGGTATGGCATATTTTCATTTGAATCTGTCTTCAGGTATTTTTTTATTTCTCTTTTGAT